AAACTGCCAACTCAATCCTCACCAGAAATTTCACGAAGAGCTTCAGCCCAACGAGATGTCGAGTCAGCCATCATAGCTACGTTCAAGCCCATGTCACGGAAATACTCGGCCAAAGTAATACCTACATAGATGTATTGCATAAACTCTCGTTACTAGCGAACATCTCGCGTTATGAACGCACCAGTGTAGATAGAAGCTTCACGAGCAGCTACTGGCATATTTGAGGTATTAGCGACAAGAGCGGTACGCTTCATGATAGATGTGGTAACTCCATCAACCTCCATCGTGAGTTCTGGGAAATCTCGAAGTACCTAGAATTGATAGACCACTAGAAGGAAGATGTGGAAAAAAACGTTTGCTGTAAGGCGTCGATAATCGTAAGTTACCTCAGACATTTCGTTTCCACGCTCACCACATCCTACGTAGATGATGGCATCCGAGTTAGAGTATTTTGACAAAGATTGAGAAATGACAGTTTTACCGCAGCCAAAAGCACCTAAACTCATCAATGTCCTACAGACGCTCTCTGAAAATGACCACATGATACAAACCAGGTATAGCAGTGGTTCCTCCCTGAACGCACGGGAAGAGAGCATCGAGAACACGCTGCCCACACAGAAGGGGATTGTTGGCAGCCAACTTGAAAATATACAAGTAGAAGCAGAAAGAAGGATGTGTTGTGTACCTTTTCCGCACATGGACGAGGGTTTCGCACAGGCCAGATTTGCAACATAGTAAACTTTTCCTTGCGTCCGGCAAATTCAACTTCCAAGAGGACATCCTAAGGTTGTACGTCAATTGCTCGAGTGAGCTATCAGACAAGATTATTTCCTACCTCGACCGTGTACTGTCCGGATGGAGCGACGTAAGTCACAGTGCCGCAAGAATTTGGTGGAAGCATGATTTTGTGCTTTATCAATAAGTTTTCATGCACAGATCCGATTTCGTCACCACCTTAGGAGATCATTCATAAGCAGAAAAATCAAGTTATCTTCCAACCAACCAGTAACATGCGCTCCAACGAACACATTCTTGTTAACAGTGAAATCCCATCGCGCGTCACGAGATAGAGCTTTGGTAGATACACCTACAACAATAATTTTTGGAAGTTTGTCACAGATGGAAGACCAAGATGAGATCCAAACAAACAAGGAATGGATGGTTTGTCGTTAACCTTTCGGTATGTAGATGGACTGGGTCATATCTGCGATGTCTTTCAGTGGACGTTGGATACCATCAAAAATGGAACCCATAATACCAGGCCCAAGTTCAACAGAAAGTGGCTTTCCGGTACGCAACACTGGATCGCCAATTGTAACAGCAGCTAAAACAAATTACAATCAAAAAAATTCACCCTTCTCATGTCTTTATAGCATGATTGTGTTTGCTCTAACAAACCAGAAAAGCCAAAAGCCCCTTAGAGCTCACTTCCATAATAAAAAACCGCAACTAAACGGTTTTTTATTATGGAACAGTAAACGCAACAGTAAACGGAGACAATTCAGCTTATGCCACATATTCGGATCACATAATCGAAAGTCTACCTTTCAAGCTTTCGCAAAACTCCCGTCTTCAACATAGCACAATTCACTGTCTCCAGAATTCAAATACCAACTCAATGTATACGTAGTACCGTGCGACTACTATAGTGGGTTACGTATCCCAAGTACCAAGTACCGAGCAGCGATGCACGAGAGCGCGAGTTACCACGTTTTAGCCAGAGACTCAGACATGCGCGATGGCATGAGACCAATTCGCGAGCGCGCAGCGATCTCGATTTTTGGTCT